AACTAAGTCAAAAAATTAAGACTGTTCCATGAAGAGTGCTTTGGAGTCTGATTCCAGCTCACATCCTGAATGGAGATAGCAAAGGGCATAATATGGTATAGGCAGGCACTGCAAGATATGGTCCATGTTAAACTACTCTAAAAGGCACATACCGTAAATGTGTGATTCAAATGTTAATTTTAGTCTAGAATACTTATGCTAACGGAAGATTCAGTCATGTAAAGATTTAAATGAATAGTATGTCCAAGGCAATGGCAAGATACAGAGATGTATAAAGCTGGCAAATACAGTCTAGCTGGATCCTAAGGAAGAAAAGACAATGTTTTTGGCAAACTTATGTCAATCTTTCCCACCAGAGTTAACAAGAAGTTTTGGGAAATTTCAGGCAATGAAGATAGGATGAAGATATGTGGTCTCTTTATAAGCACTAATTAGATGAGAAATAACTGAGTCAATTACTGCTAAAAAACTGAGAAAGATAAACCATTAGTAAAAAATTCACCTAATTTTTTAAACTTAATAATCATGTTATATTAGAGAAGTCTATAATTTGAAATGTTATGTTTTGTAACTGTAATGGTCTACTTTTTGTACACAGATGTATCCTATCATTAACAGAAAAGGAAATCATACACTTATTTTGTCAGAAGTGGCTAGGGATACTTTTACATTAAATTTAGTAATTTTTTGGACTGATGATCTTTGTAACCAATTTTTAAACTCAGAATTGGTGGAATAAATATAATGGTCATAGTCTTCTTGGCAAAAGGCTATGGTAGATGTTTATAGTAAATTTTTATAAATGTAGTTCTCTTACCTGTTTTTCAAAATGTAGTTATTACATTTTTACCTAAATTCTGCCTCTCTTGGTCATATGTTAAGTTCACTAGACACATCTACAAGTTGTATCTATCAGTTGTATCCTTAGGCCAAACAAAAGAGGTCACCTAACTCACTTTGGTCCCCTAGGTAATTTACTCAGGATCCATTATCTGACATCAAAGTCAAGTTTATGAAAAACACCAACAATGTAAAATCCCAGTAGTTTGGAGGTGAATTTAAAAAGCTCCCAAGTCAGTGCTTTCCCCAAATGTTAAATAATTCACTGTGGCAATACAGATGCAAACCTCCAGCAAAAGTTACACTTGAACAATTAAGAAAGCAGGAGCCAAACAAATGACTTCAGGGACAGAGAAATTAATGGTTTCTCATAGTACTATGCCAAATTACATTTTCACACTAACAAGTGTATAAAACACCCAAGCATCACCAATGACATTTTGTAAGTTTGATTACAGAAAATAGCCTGAAACCAGGATTATTCCCTAAATGTAATTATGGATTCTATACACTTGGCTATGAAACCCATTTATATTATTTGGAAAATTTTTATATTCATAATGCAACACCTACTCTTTTGCAAAGTTCTTTACAACTCCTCATGTTACCACGACCAACTACCAAATGTATATGTTCCTGTGACGGTTCAGAAGGTGATGCAGGTGTTAGTTAGAGGCTAGATAAGAAACTTGAAACACAAGGTCACATCACAGTGCACTGTAGGTATACCAGGTGTGTCAGGAAAAGGACCAGCCATTGTTAACATAAAGAACAGTTTGTGCATGACATCAATGTAACCTGGCAGCCAAGGAGAGTGGATTGGAATGCTCATGCATGAACAATGATGACTTCACTGTATGAGTCAGTGGGGACCATGGACACTATTGAGTGAGCATGTGTACTATGTGGCTGTGGCATTCAAAATGACTGAGTGAGGAGAGCAACAATGAATCTGCATCAAATTTTGCATCAAGCTTGAACATTCCTCTGCAGAAACTGTTTGGATGATGATGACTGGCAGCTTCATCACAACAATGTGCCCACTCATGCATCATGTCTAGTGCAGTTTCTTTGAGAAACATCAAATCACCCAGGTAATTCACTCCACTTACAGCCCAGATTCGGTCCTCTGAGACTTCTGGCTGTTTGCAAAACTTAAATCACCTTTGAAAGGGGAGAGATTTCAGACTATCTATGAGATTCAGGAAAATATGATGGGGCAGCTTATGGTAATTAGAACTGTGTGAGGTCCCAAGATGCCTACTTTGAGGGGAACTGAGGTGTCATTGTCCTATGCACCATGTTCTTGTGTCTTATATCTTCTTTGGTAAATGTCTCTATTTTTCATAGTAAATGGCTGGATACTTCTGGATAGACCTTGTATAGGTAAGAGCACCTACACAGTAGAAAGGGTACATACTTCAAAGCAAAACCAGAATTTAACTCCCAACTCTATCACTTTCTACTTAGAGGATTTCAGACAAGTCTTAATCTCAGTATTAGCTTCTTTTTCTGTAAAACAGGGATGATTCACTTACGTAATAAATATTTATTGAACGCTTTTTATGTGTCAAATAGTACTTTACATGGGTTAATTTAGAATTAGAGATAATAAAACTTGGCTGGTATTCATTACAGGTACATATGGTTACTCACTTGCAAGGGTAGACACTTGCCCAATAAAGCAAGGTCAAAATCAGCAGGCTGAAACCAAAGGAATTCCTAACAGGAGACAGAAATACATGGGATTCAAGGTAATGTGAAATCTGTTTGCTTTCCAGGGATTAACAGGCTATTGGTATTCATTATGGGTCCTTATGTGTTTTCTCCAGTTATTCCAAGTTCAGTCAGGAGCTTTCCACAAAGTTTATAAGGTACAGTTTGATCTCTAATTTGAACACTTTGGGGGAAGGATGTAAATGTATTAAAGATTTGCAAGTTGCTTTTAATTCAGGAGTTTTTCAAAGAAATACAAAAGGAGCCCTGGCTGGCATAGCTCAGTGGATTGAGCACGGGCTGTGAACCAAAGTATTGCAGGTTCGATTCCCAGTCAGGGTACATGCCTGGGTTGCAGACCATGACCCCCAGCAACCACACATTGATGTTTCTCTCTCTTTCTCTCTCCTTTCCCTCTCTAAAAATAAATAAATAAGATCTTTAAAAAAAAGAAATACAAAAGGAAGACCCTTTCTGGTATATTAACTTAATGGTTAGTCTAATCTGCACGTGAAATAAATTATCTATATTTGACTAGAAAATAAGAATAGAATCAAGAAAATAAATACATGAGATATGGGAAAAAACTATAGTTAGAGCCTCAACTTTTCTCAATTGCCAGTTATGCCACTTCGAAAGTCTCAAGATTTTGTATCTGTTTTCTCAGGAGTAAAATAAGTATCTTAACAACTCCTACCTACAGAATTATTGCAACGATCAAATGGGATAACTGTCATAAAAATGATCAGTAACCTACAAAGCACTAAAAACCATAAATTATTCCAGAGTGAGTAGGGACTAAAGATGATCCCAAGATATCTCTTTTGGTAAAGATACTTACATGGATGAGTGGTAAAAGGTCTGCAAAAATTATTCTGGATGGAGGAGTGGATCATTTGTAGCCACAACAGTAATAATTTGGCTTGCTTATCAATGAGGAAGGATCATTGGACTTCATAGCTAACAAGCAACAGTCATTTTTAAATATTATAGCAGAAAAAAAATGTATGGATAAACCACTAGCAATTAAAAAAATCTATGAGGTGGATTGAGTTTTAAATTAAACCAGTAAGATACAAAGGGGCACCTCACCAAAACGGAATTGATTTATAAAAAACTGTGTATTTATTCTTACATGTTTAAACTTCAGCCACCTTCAAAGTACCCTCCATTTGATGCAGTACACCTAATGAGACATTTTTTCCTCTGCTCAGAACAGTTTTTGAACTTGTCAATTTTGATGCCTTTTAGTGCTTCTCCCATTTTTGTTTCACCTCTTCCACATCAGCAAAACATTTCCCTTTGAGGGCTTTTTTCATCCAAGGAAACAAAAAACAGTTGCTCAGGGCCAGATCTGGATGAATAGCAAGGATGGGGCACAATGGTCATGCCACTTTTGGTCAAAAACTGCTGAACACTCAGTGCATTGTGGGCAGGTGAGCTCATAAATCACCCATTATGGGCAAATGCACTGGAAGAGTCTTAAAAAAAAATCCACTGAAGCCAAACACAACCTCTCACAACAAAGCCAGCGGGTGCACTGCTACAGAGGGGTTCCATGAACACTCACCTAGTGGTGGAAGCCTGTACTACAAGAGCCCATCCTCCAGAAGATAATTCATTTGGGGGGCGGGGAATCCCCCCTTGTATATCAGCCATAAGTCAAAGTTTCTAGAAATGCTTCTTGTCATGAAAAACTTTCCCTGTCACCGGGTTTTTTAGGGTAGTTTAAATTTCACGTGCTAAAGTTCACCTGCAGATTGTTACTTCTACAGAGGCTTTTAACCCAGTGTCAAGCACTCTACTAAGATTAAATAGAGTTACTGATGATATACTATTACTAAAAAATATACAGTAATTTTTTAAAAAACAAAATGAAATTTAAAGTGTTAGATGCAACAAATGTGACTAATACATGCTCATAAATTTATTTTTAATCTAAATGTGTGTGATGTAAAAATTTCTTATCTCAGTAACTTCAGTAAAAACTTCCCCATAAAAATAAGCAAAATAAAAGAAATGATATAGCACTGATGTAGATTATATCTGCTAAAATGGTGGTTGCGTCATTATTTTACAACTATGTATCAGTTTAAGTAGATTTAAAAATCAAAAATCCTGGGCTAAATGACAAAGAGATCTCTGCAGAGATATGATGGTACCCTGATGGGGCAGAGGGCAGTAATGAACAGAAACTTTTACACGCCCATGGCAGTAACGCAAGTGTTCACCACATAGATACGGGTAAATTTACCAGTTACGCATGGAGCAGCCAAGACAACCAGATTTGTTAACAATGAAACTCATGTTTTTTAACTTTACAAAGTATTTTAATCTATCTTTCATTTAGTGAATGATAAAGAACTAAACAGTGATTTCTACCACTACTGTTCAGTATAAGAAAATACAGTTTAGAGAGCAATGTCAAAAGACTAATTTCTTACCATGAATAGATCCCACTGACCATGTCATAATTCTGACATGGAGCGTTCACGCTGCTGGGCCCAGCTGCTTTAGAAATCAGGAGCACCACCAAGCCCCTCAACTGGAGGTTATTCCGGCTGTCTTGTACAAGCCCTCTGCCAACAAATAAAAAGGTTAAGATTAATGTACTCTCATAAGATCAGTCATATCATGTTAGCAAATTGCTACAAATATGCCCATACTTCCAAAATCAGACAATGGGACTTGTTGAAAAGAAATAGGATTGGGGGAAGGAAGAGAAATGGGATTGGGAGAATGAGAGGAAACGACAAGTTCTGAAAACAAGTGGAGAAACCCACAGCTGGCTGTAAAAGCCAAAATCTCAAACTGTGAGCTTGATGATCTGGCTTTCTCCTCTTTCTGGGTTTTTCCCACTGTCTATACACGGCCTCAAAATATTAACTGTTCGCTCTGATAACAAGAAGAATCCATAGTTTTAAACTGAAACTATGTGGTAGCTGTGGTAGTTGACAGCAATTGAGATAAATACTGACTACATGGCTTAGGTGAAGAGACATTATTTGGTGATGGTGGTTAACGGAAGTTATATAAAATGATTTCAGTTTTCACAGCTAGAGAAGCAGCTCAAAGAATGAAGGGATTAAACTTAATCTGAATGACTCAAAATGTGTATGAGAAGTAAAATGGAAATGAATATCATGAGTATCTTGCCATTTCCTATTACTTAGTCAAAGTATTATGATTCTAGACAACAATGAGGCTCTGACTCAGAATGTCATGTTTTTTTGCTATGAGGATTGAGCTTTTATAATTACTACTATAACTAAGGCCAGGAATACTTTCTTGGAACATGCTGTTATTTTTTTCTCATTGTTGTTGTTTTATCTTTAAGTACTGCAAATGGTGTCATATAAAAACTAAATGGCATCATTAGTCTGGGTAATATAATAAATTAATATTTAGAACAATGCACATGAGCAATAATCAAATAGATTAATTGCAGCATATATAAACAATACACAAATATAATTCTTTTTTTCCAGCTTAAATAAAATAACAGGTTTATTGTCTTATAGTTCTGGATGTCAGAGGGTCCACAAGAACAAAATCAAGGTGTCAGCAGGGCTATGTTTCTTTCTGGAGACTCTAGGGGAGAATTCATTTCCTTGGCTTTTCCATATTCCAGAGTCTGCCTGCATTCCTTGGCACATGGCCACATCACTCAGGCCTCGGCTTCCATTGTCACGTCAACTCTGACAATCCTATATCCCTCTTTTCGGACCATTGTGGTTACACTGGGCCCACCTGGATTATCTCCTTTCAAGGGTCAGCTGATTAGTAAGCAGCCTTAATTTCCCTTTGCCATGTAACCTACCTACCATATTCACAGGTTCCAGGAATTACGATATGGACATCTTGGGTGAGGAGCATTATTCTGCTGATCACTAGCAAAAACTGAAAAACTTGAGTTATTACTGTTCAATGTAACCCCAACTACCCACAGGTTGGCAAGGCCTGGGGAAACTAGGTTACACTTAGAAATTTTTACATTCATGAAAATAAATGAATGGCATATTAAACAAAGAAAATGTTGGTGACATGTTCCATGTGAAAAATTAGAAATTATGGTACCATGTCGTTATTTTCCATGGACCATCTCTTGTTCAATATAAACGTTAGAGAATGCTTTTCCTCCATAGTTTTAGTAAGAAATTTATCTACTGATTTTGCTGTGTTGCAGATGCGCCCAGTTAAAAGACAGCTTTCTGGGGGTTTTTTCTTGTTTTTTTGTGTGTCTGTGTTTTAGTCCTTCCTCCCAATCAAATACTTTCTGATTTTACAGTTGAATGTTCCTAATTGTTTCTATTCCCAAATTTATGAGATCATCTTTACCTGAAATGATCTCTCAGTGGAAAGGGCAGACTGGTAAACCTAGGGGAAACAATTATCCATAAAGAAAACTGGCTTTTGGGAAAACAAACAGGTAAGTTCATTCAACAAAAATTCTGTTCTTGCTGCCAGTCAGCTGGGGGGCAGCTGGAGGCACACAGGAAGTTCTGTTCCTTTTCCCTCCTTCCTAAAATAGCCCTAGATCCCCATGATGGGGACTGAAAACCAATTTTGTTATTAATTTACCTCCTGTACAGGTTTGGTCCCTCTTTATTTCTCGAGGTTTCTCTCTCCCCATACCTCCTCAGGTGCCTGCAAGGTCCAGGCCCTGGGAAGAGCCACCCCTTTGGGGAAATCCCAGCACTCTCACACCTGCTGGTTTTGGCAGCCTCTCCCTTGTTCGTCTGATAAGATCTTCTGAGCCCCAACTCAAAATGCCTACCGTTCTGTGCAAAGCACTGACCCCAACTTAAAGACTGGTGAGTCCAGGCCTCTGAATGCTTGGAGCAAGAGAAGAGGACTGGATTTAATAAGTAAGTTTTTAAAATCATCATAGATAGTCTTGATGCTCACACCCCACCAAGCCCTGAGATGGCTGGGCTGTGTGCATGGTCTCATTTTCTAACGTATGCTGTGATCTTGCAAGGACACTATGAGTCAAATCTTATCTCCACTTTTCAGCTTGGCAAAGTTGAGAGATTGGAAATGAGCCCTAAATGATAGAGCTGGTAAATGCCAATGTCAGGCCTCAGCACCAGTCAAAGGTCTGATGACCTTAAGCTCAAACCCATGACCTTAACCTCCTTATATACTGCCTGAGCACTGTAAGCAGAAGCTAAGGGTGTGGGCAGTCCACAGAGGTGCTCTGCTATAGTAGACCAAGCATGCTGTCATGAGAAAGCTTTGGCTGAAGTACCCCTGGGGCCACTTGCCTGCTGTGTCATCTTGGGCAGGTCATTTGGCCTCTCTGAGCCTCACTCAGTTTCCTCATGTCTATCCCATGCCCTTATTGTGAGGCTCAGGTGAATGAGCCCATGAATACCCAGATGATTTTTCTCAACTGAGCATCAGAGGGTTCTTATCAAGGGGCATCAGGAAAGGCTTCCGGGAAGAGGTAGCAAAACAGACACAAGGAACAGAAGTCTCTGTCCTGTGACCTTGGGGCAGATACCAGGCAGATAGGGAGAAGACACAAGAAGAGGCCCAGCTGTACAAGCACTGGCCTCCAGAAGTTTTCCCAGATGCTTCAAGAATGTAGGTGGGACAGTTCTTGGCTCAGTCACATCCCACTGCTCAGGGAACCAGCTGTGCTGGGGAGGGGAGAGGAGGGGAGGGGATGGAAGGGGTGAGATGGGGAGAAGAGGGAAGGGAGGTACAAAGGAGAAAAGAAAAGGTGGGGAGGGAGAGGGTGAAGAGGGGAGAGGAGAGGAGAGGGAGGGTAGGAAGGTGGAGAGAAGAGGCCTCTGGGGAGAAAGCTCCAGTCTTGCTAAAGTGTTAAATCAGTGCCAGAGGCGAGTGCTCACTCTAGAGAGGGGTTCACTGCGGACTCCCTTCCACTGAGCCACAGGAGGGCTCATCTGATGAACAGAACGCCCTGCTGAGCGTCTGAAAGGGGGTCCCAGCCCAGGCTGTGCTTAGTGTCTGAATCTTGGCATCTCGGCTTCCTCATTTGTAACAAAGGTCAATATATCTGCTCTACGACCCACTTCACTGTGGTAGGAGGAATAGGTGGGATAAAGAAAATCAAAGTTATTTGTAATATATAAAGTATCAACACAAAAAAACAATAATTGTGGTCTCCTGTGGGTTGGGGAACTGGGTGGCAAGGGGACTTTGCACTATGTCCCCTTTATATGTTTTTATATTTTGAAGATTTTACTCCTTTACTTTTAGAGAGAGGAGACAGGAGGGAAAAAGGGAGGGAGAGAAACACTGATGTGTGGTTGCCTGTTGTGCGTCCCCAACTGAGGACCAGGCCCATAACTTAGGCACGTACCCCGACTGGGAATTGAACCAGAGGACCTTTGGGTTCGCAGACTGGTGTTCAATCCACTGAGTCACCACAAATATAATTCTTGATTGTGGTAAAAAGACATTCAAAATTTGTATTATAATACTTCATTTATTATTAAGACTTTCATGGTGAATTTAGAACAAAGAATCAACTGAAATTAATTATGTTAACTAATCCAAAATTAATGAGTTAGTCCACTATTTAAGAAAATTCTTTGTTCCTCATGCCTCCAAGCAGGATTTTCAAAAAGGGCCCCTTCTTGCCCTTTCATTAGTTTCAAAATAAGAGAAAGCTTCAACTATCAACAAATGAATCTAAAAAAACAAACTAAGGAAACAACCACAAGAGAAACAGAATTAAGGATATGGAGATCACTTGGAGGGCTATCAGCTGGGAGGGAGAAGAGGTAGAATGCGGGAAAAAGTACAGGGATTAAGAAGCATAATTGATAGGTATAAAGTAGACAGGGGGATGTTAAGAACAATATAGGAAATGGAGAAGCCAAGGAACTTGAATGCACAACCCATGGACATGAACTAAGGAGTGGAGGAGTAGTGAACTAAGTGCTGGAGAGAATGGGGGTGCCAGGCAGTGGAGGGCAAGGCGGGAAAATTAGGACAACTGTAATACCATAATCAATAAAATATATTTAAAAAAGAGAGAGAGCTTCAGGCTCTCTGCAAAGTGTAAGTTACAGCTGTTTCTTGACATATTTTCTCCTCAATCTAGTCAGTGATCTTCTACAAATTAGAAGGGTTAATGATTTTCAAAAATAAGTTCTAATTTCCTAGGACAGGAAGTTAAACTAAGGTAATTAAGCTATATCACAGTAGAAACAAGCATCAGGGATGTCCAAAGCTCTTTATTATCATGCAACAATCTGCTTAAATCTTACAGACCTTAACCAGAGAGAGGCTAGAAAGCATCCTATTTTAGAAAAAGAAAATGTAAAATGGGCGCTCTTTGTAAATTTTTTGCTTTAAACTACAAATTTCAACTAGTTCTACTTATCCTTATTTATATGTCACCTAAGGTGACTCTTTATTTTTCCATTTCTGTATAACAATATTAAAGAGAGAGTCTAAATTGGCTCCTATTTCTAGAAGGAAAAAAGGAGGGTGAGGATGTGAGTGCAAGCTTGTGTGTGCGTGCGCACATTTCAGGGGTTAAGCCTGGTTAGGATAAAGGATATGATGACACAGTAGGAACCCTAAGAGGCTAACCTTGAGG